AATCCCTGAAGCTTCCATCGATTTAAATATCCTGGCGGGAATTCAGTCAACTTTGAACATTAGCAAATTTAGCTTTCCATAAAATTACAGCAAACCAGCAAACCACTAATGCCGGTAGCTTAATCTCTTTCATCGCGACTGACCCATGCAACCTCACATTGCCGTCCACTAGCTATGGTTGGCTGATCTTGATAAGGTGGCCTAATTCCCTCTGAATGCTAAAATGCTAATTTCCATCACCATCGATAAATGCGATGCACTTTCAGTTCATGAGGCATACGTGGACATGACGGGCGATGACCAGCACCAACACTGATGATGTTGACAACGATGGTGAAGCTAATTACGACCAACACCTGCAGGCAGTAAGCTGTTCTAGGCTATGTGGTGTTTGCTATGAAAATGGGACCGTAAAGGCTCGAATCTGGACACTTTTAAACGTTGGCTATAACGCCTTATTTTACTGAAAATAACTCACATATTTTATCATTATCTTTTTAGTATCGTCCGGTTTAACTAACCGTCCGGTATTCGGTGCATTACGGAACCATACCATGCTTGCGGCAGAACAGGCCGTCACACAAATATGTCGCATCCATATTGATGTCACATGATGGACATTTATGGAGGTCTACGATGGATCGGGTTCCGGATGAAGTTTGCAGGATGGTTTTTTGACCGACCGATAACAGCTACTGAGCTGAACAATCACTGCGATGACAAATTATCACTGAAATCGATTTGTTCCGATCAGTAGCAGTGAAACAGGATTGAATCTACTGAAGAACTGTAACGCGACCGTTCAGAAATTTTCGCTGCTCTGCCACAGAATCCAATTAGAGTTCACGAACCACTTTCCGTTCTCCGTCGTTCTGTGAGCTGCCCTAATTAGCAACCAAGCTTGACTGAAACAACTTCACCGTCGATGGTTTGTGTGTGTGTGTGTGTGGCAACGAGTGCGGAAGAACTGCAAAAGCGACACTTTTATCGTGAAAAGCACCCCACCTCCCCGGAGAGAATCCATTTCCTTAAAAGCTTCAAAGCAAGCAAGTAGAAAAAAAAAGTTGTCTAACTCAATTTCCTGATCGCTTCCTTTCCATCATCTTCGCCATCCCCGTCACGGGGACTCATCAGTAGCGCAACGGAATATGAAAGCAAAGTCTCCATCTAAGTAACAGCCTGGCATTGGCATAGCCGAGTGGGGTCAGGATCAACCTCTTCTGGAATGCCACCGTCAGGATTTTTTTTTAGGAGCCACTTTTTTCACTGTTCCAGTTTGCTAAGCTCAATCCGTTCTGAAAGTTGCTTTTCTGTGGTTTATGATGATCCTAATAGGTGCTATCTAGGCAGACATTTTCTTGTCAGAAACCATAATCGTCCAAGATGGTTCAGATTTTTCGAATTAAGATTAGGGTGGCCGGGATCATTTTCAATCCGAAATTGTACACTCAATTTGAATTTTGGGATTTTGGAGGCATGTCCAAAAGGATTTAAGACGCAAATCTGCAGTGCTCTACGATAATTATTATTATTCAAACCGCATTGAATGACGGCAAGCACAAAGCTAACAAACAGTGTTCGGATTAATCTTGCGATTTCGCGAATAAAATGGACTGTAATTGGATGGAAAATCGTGTTTATTTATTCTTATACGCGTCGGTCTTACAACTCACTCTCGAAAAAACTAAGTGTCAAAACAAAAAGAATACATAGAGCTACTAGATACATGAATTAAAATGCTGGTTTCAAATTAACCGTTTAATGCCTGAACATCCTCCCCCCTGTTGAACTCTTAACCGTTCCGCTAGATGTACGCACGGTCACTACTCTGGTCACACCATCCAACCCTGGGTGGGTTTGCACTAGCCTAGCCAACCTCCACTGCAAGGGTGGCAAACGCTGGAATGAACTGAACTTGCATAGAACCGGAAGTTCTTTGGGTTCTTCGCTCACTGTTATTTAAGGCTATCTTTTTTATATCTGGAATGTCAACCGCTTCAGCTTTTTCAAAAGCTCCATACGATGCATTTTTTAGAAAAGTAGGCCCGTGCCACCAAACGTCACTTTTTTTCAATTCCTCTGGATAAACGCCACGTGATAGTAAGTCTGCAGGATTTGACTTCGACTCCACATACTTCCAATCAAATCCTACAGTTGACTGCTGGATTTCAGCAACGCGATTAGCGACAAAGATGTTGAGCTCGTGAGGTGATTTATTCAGCCAGCATAGTACAACCGTGGAATCCGTCCATAGCACAACGTTACTATACTGCAAGCTTAGCGCCACCATGACAACGCTAACGAAACGAGACATTACCAGGAATTCACAGAGTTCCAAACGAGAAATCGTTTGCACTCTTGATTTACTTGTTAGAAGATGGATCTCTGCACTACAATCGAAGAGAATGGATCGCACGTATACGAAAGCACCGTATGCCATCAAGGATGCATCTGAGAATGCATGCAGTTCGACACTCACTCGAATCGGCGAAATAACGCACCGACTTATTTTCATTCCTTCCTGGTCCTTCGTCTGGTCCTTTCGAACTTCCTCCTCCCAACCAATTTTCAAGTCTCGTCCGAGAGGATCAAATGTTTTTGCAACCTCAGCGAGAATGTGACGTTTGGTGATGAGAGATTGTTCCAGAACTGGAATCATCCGAAAGAGTGTAACAATTTAGGTTTTATGAGGGTTCTGTAGCCCATGATTTAGACTTGTAGAATGCTATAAAACCGCAATAAAACTTGCAATGTTGCTTGGGAATAGTTCATCTGTTGACGGATTCCATAGTAATCCCGGTGTCTTGATTATATGGTTTGCTCCACTGAATTCCAATGACGATCGCTTCTCTCGTAGCTCTCCCGGGATGGTCTCCAAAAAGTCCATTGAATTGGAGCACCATTTTTGCAGTTGAAAACCGCCTCTATGTAGAAGTTGTATGAGCTGTTTTGAAGCCTCCTTGATTTCGTCGACAGAATCTCCTCCAGTCAACACATCGTCGATGTAGACATCACATCCGGAAACTGGTCTCCTTCATCCTGGATGAGTTGCTTCAATGTACGTGTTGCTGCAAAAGAGGCTGATGCTGTGCAGTAGGTTACGGTCGTAAGTTTTAATGTGCGAATTGGATCAGTTGGCATTTAACGACAAAATGCCCGGAGGAATCTTGTATCATCGCGAGCCATGCTTATTTGCCTGTACATTTTGGGCACATCACAGGGGAACACGTACTGATGAATACGAAACCGAATTGTTATATCCAATAATGGATCCTGAACGACCGGACCGGTCATGAGGACATCGTTAAGTGAAACTCCCGTAGTCGATTTCGCAGATGCATCAAACACTGTTCGCAGTAGACGATGTGGGTTTCAACACCACATGGTGAGGCAAAAAGTAGTTGGGTGTGCTGCTTATCTCAAGCTCGAAAATCTCCCGACAATGGTTGACTCGAACGTATTCCTCAATGAAAGCATCATATTCACGCTTCAGTTCCACGTTGTTGTTCAAACGCTTTTCAAATTGATAGAAGCGCTGCAACGCATACTGCTTCGTTTCACCAAGCCCAATTAGGGGCTGTGGTGGATTATCTCATTTGTTTCAATATATAGAGCTATACTGTCTTCGACAAAGTTGTTGTACTGAGATAGACCAACAAGCCTGTGTCATTGAATTCAGATTTAATTGGGGACTACGTCCCTAGAGGCACTTCACTTATATTTTTATTATGACGGGGGCTATAGCATATGGATCATAGGATCCTGGCCATTCAGCAAAGTTGTTCAAGTGACCAAGTCCTTTCGGATGGTGGCCATATAAGTTCAGAACTCTCTCACTACACAGCGCTAGTGTGCACGTGAGCTTGCTATATAAGCTGTATCTCAAAATCCTGGCCATATAGAAGGTTACTGCATTCAGCAACGCTGTTCAGGTGATCATGTCCTTTTGTATGGTGTTCATATTAGTTCAGAACTCTCTCACTAGGCAGCGCTAGTGTGCATGTGAACTTCCTATATAAACTGTATCTCGAGAACCTGGCCATATAGAACGTTGCTGCCTTGAGCAAAGTTGTTCAGGTGACCAAGTCCTTTCGAATGGTGGTTATATTAATTCAGAACTTTCTCACTACACAGCGCTAGTGTGCACATGAACTTCCTTGAAATGTTATGTGTGGAAAGCTTGTCCATATAAGATGTTGCTGTGAAATGTGGGGATAGGAACCGGAAAAGGGATGATGTGTAGAGGTCAGAAATCGATTTCGGACGCCATTTTAAAATCCAAGATGGCGACCATTGGTTCAAGAAAAACTGTCAAATACCCTACAATATTTCATGGTACTTCCGGAAAGGAGACGACGTATAGAGGTCGGAAACCGATGCCAGATGCCATTTTGAAATCCAAGATGGAGGCCATCGGTTCAAGAAAAACTGTCAAATACCCTACAATATGGTTATTTCCGGATAGGGGATAACGTATAGAGGCCAGAAACCGATGCCAGACATCATTTTGAAATCCAAGATGGCGGCCATCGGTTCAAGAAAAACTGTCAAATACCCTATAATATGGATATTTTCAGAAAGGGGACGACGTGTAGAGGCCGGAAATCGATGCCAGACGTCATTTTGGAATCCAACATGGCGACCACCAGTTTAAGAAAATCTGTCAAATACTCTACAATATTTCGGGTACTTCCGGAAAGGGGACGACGTATAGAGGTCGGAAACCAATGCCAGATGCCATTTTGAAATCCAAGATGGCGGTCATCGGTTCAAGAAAAACTGTCAAATACCCTACAATATGGTTATTTCCGAATAGGGGATAACGTATAGAGGCCAGAAACCGATGCCAGACGGCATTCTGAAATCCAAGATGGCGACCACCAGTTCAAGAAAAACTGTCAAATACCTGACGTTTGGTGAGTACTTCGTCAGGATTGATAGGTGGAATATCAAACTGAAACCTGAAAACATCGGAATTAGGGAGCCAGGTTAGTCCTAACGCCTTGACGGAAGGATCTGGATCGAGATTGATTCCTTCGGATGCACGGATCGCAAGATTCTCTTCGGGAATTCCGTGCAAGACTTCTGCACAGTTCGATGCCCATGTTCTGAGCCGAAAACCACCGCTGCTCGTCATTCCGTCTAGCTGAATCTGCAGCTTCTTGGCCTCCTCCAGAGTATCGCAGCCCGTGATCACGTCATCCATATACGTATCTTCGGTAATCGCAGCAACTGCCAGTGGATATCGATCGCCTTCGTCCATTGCCAACTGGTTGAGTGTGCGAGTTGCTAGGAACGGAGCTGGTTTCGTTCCGTAAGTGACAGTGTTCAGCTCGTAACTGCCTACCTCCTCTGATGGTGATGGACGCCAGAAGATGGATTGGAGTGGTCGATCTATGGAAATAACGAAGATCTGGCGGAACATTTTTTCCACGTCGGCGACTAACATGATTTGCTTCGTGCAGCAACGAAGGATGATGGATCGAAGATCTTGCTGTATTACTGGCCCTACCAGCAATGCATCGTTCAACGACAATCCCGTAGACGTTTTACAAGATGCGTCGAACACCACGCGGACCTTGGTGGTGGTGCTGGCCTCCTTCACCACCGGATGATGTGGAAGAAAGCAGCGTTTAATGGATCCTTGTTCTCCTTCGACCTTCCGCATGTGACCTAATTGCACGTACTCCTCCATAAATGCAACGTACTGTTCCCGTAGGTTAGCGTCCTTGGATAGTCTACGCTCGGTACCTTGAAAACGTCGGAATGCGATCTCCATAGATTCGCCCAACCGAGAAATGACGTTTTCGTCTTTGGGTAGGGAAACAGAATAGCGGCCGTCCGCTCCACGCTGCACAGTACTCGCAAACATTGCTTCACAGCGGGATTCTTCTGGAGAAAAGTTGTTGATCAACTCAACCTCCTCTATGGACCAAAGCCGGGATAGTAGCTCCTCCAAACGATCCGTTGTTGCCATGTTGCAGTTGATTTGCATACTATGGTTGCCTTCGGTATATCCTCCACTGACTACCCAGCCGAAGACTGAATCGTGTAACGCTGGAAGTCGCTCTCCAAGTGAAATTTTCCTACCCGTTTCGAAAAAGTCGAAGAATGCTTCTATCCCCAGGACGATATCCACCCCTGAGGATATACAGAACGATGGGTCAGCAAGTTCGATTCCTTCTGGAAGTGTCCAACCGGATGTGTTGATGGTGGTAGTCGGCAGGTTCACCGTAACCTTCGGCAGAACTAGGAAGTTCATTTGGCGTGAATACTCCGATAACCGTGATCGAACCATTGCTGAGACTTGTTGCTTGACCTTGGTAGCTGCCTGACCAATGCCAAGAACCGAAATATCCACCCTTCGGCGAGTTATCTTCAGACGCTGGCTGAGGCGCTCTGAGATAAAATTGCTCTCCGATCCAGAGTCTAGAAGAGCTCGAGCTGGAATCCGATTGCCGTCATCATCCTGAACTATGACAACCACTGTTGCCAGCAAAACCTTGGATGAGCATTGGTGGGCTGTACCTGCCACCAAGCTGTCAGTAGCTGTCAGATTAACTACTTGAGAAGTGGAAGAGGATGCTAAATGTTTCGAGGATTGATTGGATTCCGAAGCTTCCTTGGATACGTTGCTGCCTTTAGTTGATGTCTTGGAGTTGGAGTCCCTATCAGGTTTAAAACAGACCAACGTGTGGTGTCGACCCTTACAATTCCGACACGAGTACTTCGACTGACATTCCTTTGCCTGATGTCCCTGTCTGAAGCAGTTCCTACACAACGAATGAGACCGCAGTAACGAATCCTTATCCGTCACTGACATTCGTTGGAATGTGCCCCATTGGAACAGTGGATGATTTCCCGAGCAGGCTAAACAGCACCATCCGGACGCTTGTACAGTGTTGAGGCTAGTCCTGACTGCAGTGCTCTTTTGCCTTGTTGGTTGTGGCTGATTTGATGATTTCATAGGATCTGCAGTCTTGGATGGTAAGAATTCCAATATGCGAACTCCCCGTTGGAGAAATTCGAGAAGTTCCTTGAGGGTGTCCTGTTCCTGGGTCGAAGAAAACTCTTCCCAACCCCGGCGAGTGGATGGATCTAGACGACACGTCAACAGATTAACCAAGAGGAGATCCTTATAGTCAACCGGTTGTACAATCTGGTCCAACGTTTGCACAATCTTTTCGAATCCTTCAACAAGACTATGCAACTCGTTAACGGATTCCTTGGATAGGATGGGTAACTTGAGGAGAGATTGGATTTGGCGTTTCTTCAGTTGCTTGCTGTTGTTGTACCGCTTCAACAGCATAGCCCATGCAACTTGGTAATTGGCAGCGGTGATCTGCAACGAATCGATCAACGTCTTCGGTTCCCCTTGCAGACATCCCTTCAAGTAGTGGAACTTTTCTACCTCTGGAAGATCCGTCTTCCAGTGGATCAAGGAAGTGAATAAGTCCCGGAAACTCAACCACTCGTCTATCTCCCCGTTGAAAGATTGCAGCTTAATCTGCGGAAGACGAACGTGATCAAGCGTAGCTGTTACTGATGGTTCAGCACCAAGGATGGATTGATTCAACGATGTAGGTCCCTGCCTTTCCCTAGCCTGATCTATTAATATGGATTTTGCTTGATAGTAACGGTCGCTAAATTCCTGTCTTTGTATCTCGAATTCGTCGTTTTCATCGTCGAAGTCATCTTGTGATTTAAGCTCGACGAGAGTAGCACCATACCTCTCCCACAGTTCGTCGATTTTCTCCAATCGTAGATTGATCTGAGTAGCGGTCGTTGTTTCCTGGATTTTCTCCGTGAAACGCCAGATATCGTTGAAGGCCAACTCAATCTCCTTCAACTTGGTAATGAGGAGTTTCAGAACCGACTTCCTGGTACACGGCTTCTTGGTAGGCATGATGTTAGCTCGGTATAGTTGATACGGAACGAGAAGAGAAGTGTCGTTGTAGTATAAATACTGTGGTCCCTTGCTTCGGTGGACACACACTATTCTATGTTAACTGACCTTTACAACAAACGATTCCTCCTAAATTGAGCCAAAGTCAGCAATCCAATTGACCAAAGCTTCAGTCACGACACAGGTACTTTGTTGGTAATGCTCATTAGCGAATAAGGAACGTATGAAGAGGAGAGGAAACCAGCATGTAGTATTCAAAATTATCCAAACTCGACTGGACATATACTGAGGCAGCTCACCTAGGGAAACCAACAGCTCCACAAGTGTCCAAATCGATCGAATACTTCTACACATCAATCAATGATCAACGTTTGAATGAACTCGCCAGATATCGAAACTCCTATCGTATGATTTCACCAGATGTCGAAACTCCCATAGAATACCAACGAGAATTGTGAGAAGAGGATGACGAACTAATGTAGTACCACTAGAATCCGACTTCGGCCGGGCATATACTGCGGTCAACTCACCCAGAGAAACCAGCAGCGGTGCGAAACCCAGCAATCAAATTCAATTCAAAATAAGTGCAGCCGCAGTTCGTGTCAGCGAGGAAATTAGGGATGTGTCCGCAAATAATCGAAGAGGATACCAATTTCCATTAAAATGTGTATTTTCTGCTGCCAGGCTTCGGCAGACATATACAGAGTTCTATATAGACTCACCCGGACAATAATATGATGGTGCTCCCTCTTCGTTGTCAAAATCCCGTCAAATGTCTTGATCGGATGAACAAAATGGCCACAACCACCGCCGATGGGAGTCGTCACTGATGGCTGGCGGCGCGATGGTGCGTATGTGGTCCAATTAACCGTCACTCACAGCCAAGGATCCGTCCTAAGGAAGTTGGTTGTCCTCCTTACCAATGGTCGATCATCGGTCAACCGGTGGGTTGTTCGTAGTGTAGCAGATCAAGAAAATCGAAGGGGGGTGTAAGAATCACGAATCCTAACTTCGGTAGGACATACACTAAGTGTTAATTTACCTGGAGAAACAGGAATCCGTTCCTGGTTAGTGTCCAGTCCTAGCACGAAAGCCAAGTTGAAATTCCATCCAGTCAGTTCAAACTTGATATGGCGCCAGATCCAGGCGCGCGTTATCCTCCACAAAGGCTCCTTTCAGGCGAGAATTTAGATGGCTGCTGATTGATTGTGCACAACTAATTGACCCGCGGAACGATGGCGACACTCCTTTCATTCGCGGTACACAATGGTGTGATGGATCTGTGGTCTGGCCTATTCCATCCGTCGATGGCGTCAATCCAGCGTTTAGGGTCTTGACACGGTCCACAGGTATCCGGTTCAAAGGACCAATTATGTAGGATTACCTGTACCTTTGCTGGAGTAACTTCGGAGGTAGTGAACACCTTAGCTGTAGATTGTTGGTGTCCAACTCAATCGGTGGATGCCTGGTCGACAGGGAACGGATCAGCGATGGACACGTCAATCGTTGGTGCAGATTACGGACAACTGGTTAAGGGTGCGAGTTCTTCCTTCATGGCACAATTAACACTACACAAGTTTTAGGGGAAACACAAACTCTAACTACACTACATTTATTTTTGGTACAAACTACAACACGAATTACAATAAATGTCCCGGTCTCGCAGGACCGTCTTCGACCTTGGGTCACTTATCACCTAGCTACAATAATCATCGCTATCTGCTCTCTAACCCGATCCCAGTATCCCATCGTGGATGTGGTGAATATCACAAGAGATCGGATCGTAGACCGAATCTCTCGCTCTCATCGTCTACATCATCTCCCGTATGCTAATGAAAGCCAAAGTGATCTCGATCTACCATCAACTGCCGGTCGATCGATGGCTCGTACAATAGCCACAATTTAAGCCATTATTTGCTACCTTTATTTGCTATCATCTGATCGGCTGTTACGGTGATAGGATGGTAATAGGGTAATCCTACAACTACTTTAATTGATCCATAAAAAAATCAAGTTTGCGCACTAAAAAAATATAGGAGTGATTCGAAAAATGGGATTGAATCCACAATATTATGCTCGGTAAGCAAAATTGGTCGCTGCTAAGCCACCAAGCTCCTTTCATCACAACATGCTATTACAACTAACGATCGCTAAAGCTGGGCACCATGAAGCTATTCAAATGGAATCAATTTGTTTTCCAGATTTATTTAAACAACAAAATTTGATACAGCATGGTTGATTTCAGCAATATATTTCGCTGGGAAAAGGTTCCGAAAACACTTCAATTTAAAAAAAAAAATGTGGGCATTGAAAAGATTAGTTATTGAAGTCCGAAATTTTAAATGCTTTTTCTGTCGCAGAATTTTGAATTTAGAACACTACAGCGCGAGTGAGTTATTGGACCGAATTTTGTACAGTGATAGAATAAACTAAGAAATTCTTATAATTAGAAAAAATAGAACTCTTCTGAAATCCTATCCCGAATAGGACTTTTGAGATCCCGGACATTTGTTTTTTTTTTTAAATCATAAGAGACAATTTTCAAGATGTTGGGGCTAGGCCAGTTTTACCCATTACTAAACTTTTCGAAATTTAAACTTTAAAAATTCTCAAATTAAAAAATTCCATGGTAGGGTAAATGTCGGATTCGGCACCTATTGACTGTTTTCGGCAACCAAAATTTAAACGTTAATTTCACTATGTTTTCCCATCAACACACTTCCCTGAATGTATCCAAACGATTCTTTAGTCTTTCAGCTTCAATCTGATTATATTTGTACGACCGAGCATTCATGTTATGCCAGATTTTTCTTCACATGAAGCATACGCACTACAAAATGGGGCTGATTTCGAGTTGCCGATAAAAGAACAGCTGGTTAACACGCAGTTCTAATGGGAAGGTTGCCGAAGAAAAAGAGGCTGCCGACAATAGTCACACTCACCTGAGAAGTTTGGAGCGTTGTAAAAACGCTTTCAAACAGTTTTGAAGAATTCTGTCGATTAGAATGGATAGAGAAGCAAGTAGCAGATCAATTTAAACAAACAGACACGTCATATATGTGCGTGACGCTGAAAAAATGCTAATAGAAGTACTGACGTTGCTTAGATTGACGAGAATACGTAAATAGGGAAATTTACAGAAGATACTGTTTTTTTTTAATTATGAGATTTGCAATTTTCCCAAAATGAATCACTCTTATAAACTACTAAGCCTGTTCAAAACCACATTCCGAGAGGACTTTCCAATACAATAGCCGATCGATTTAGCTTATCTCAAATCTCCCCCTACACAAAAAAAAAAATAGAAAATAATGCTTCAAATTCCATTGCACTTCAGTCAACCATCAAAGCAGGTGGCTAGCTCAAATCAATTAGCAATTTAATTAACGTCCTGCTATTTCCAGCTCGGTTGGATTTCGGAACCAGAACCGAATTCACTTGTGCTCAAATATGGACCGATATGAATTGAATCAATTTTCCGCTTCACCATGATGCATGTTTGCAATTTCACCGCTCACTCAAATCGAATTTCTGCTTACTTTTATGCAGGATATTTTAAAATTTTCGGACCGTCCTCGATAATCAAATTGTTGCCACCGCAGCGTAAGGTGGGAGTGCGAGTTGGTCATTTAATTGAGACATGGCTTCCGGGAGGTACGTCGCCCTGTGAACGCGTAATATTTCCCGTTCAAAGAATTCGGAATGGAATGGGAAAAGTTAATTAATACATCGATGCATGAGTGTGGGTGGAAATTCATTGGATGATCGTGGTGGAAACAGAGCCAACTTTCCCGGAACAAAAAAAAAATCAATTTTGTTCAATTTATAAGCATTCTATTTTGGGTCGGAAATTGCGTTAAAATGCTATAAAAATGCAATAATTTAGAAAGTATATCATGTTGGGTGCGATTCCGGTTTTGGTGGGGAATAATTTCGGTTGGGAAATTTCCCCCCGCCACGCTTTTGCCTAATTAAGCACATTTGTTTGGTAGCAAATTTGATTTGGGCGTTGACCTGGAAAATTGCCTCGAGCCTTTCGATGGGAACTGCCGCCGAGCAGGAAAGGTAAACTTTCCGCTTTACTCTGCTAAGTGGTTTATGCTACTACCATTTACGATATCCTGTGTTTAAGAGAGATCCCTTCAATTTCCGGAAGGTAGCTTCATTGTGTTGAAAGTGACACGCAAGAGTTGCTGCAGTTTATGGGCAGAGGTAGGCTTAATATCGTTTTCTGCGAAGGACTGGCTGCTTGGTTGGTGGAAGAATGATTAGTTTGTCACACAGGGATGTTCCTTTGTCCTTTTTTCCTGCATGGAAGCATCTGTCAATATAATGAAAATTCCGTATAATTTAGTTTCCAGCTGCTTTATTGACATTTTTGGAATATTTCCATCGAATATATATTTTCCATGACCTTTAGACACTCTATCTGACAAAAGATTTTCTTCTCCCCATTTCAGGTCCACCGATTCAACCAGTATTGAATGACAATCACCGAGTACTCCAGTAGCTTCCATTGGCCCCAGGTGGAGCACCCGCAACTTGTTCCCGTAGTAGCCGTCCTGGACCGTGCCAGAATCGTAGACTGTCCGCAGGCCAGCGTGCCGCAGAATCACCTTCGTTGCCTCGTGGCATCCGCGGATCAGCTCGAATGTACCACAAAGCTCCAGACGGCCACCGCGGAGTAGATGTGAAGCTGTTGGCCGAACTCGGTTATATTGCGGATCGATTACGCAACCACGAACAGCGCTGGGAGCTGGCCGAGCTGAAAGATCTCCACAAGCGGATCGTGCTTAGCTTCGATGAGCTACCGTTGAATGTGGTCCAAGCATCGGCGGACGATCAGCTACGACCGGTCCAGTCGGAACTTCACGGGCGCTCCCAGCTGCAGCAGGAAGTCGAGCGAGCGGCGGAAGCGGCGCAGGAGGTGGAAGCCACCAAGAGGCAGCAACGCCTCGAACGACTACAGCAGTCCACCCAACCGAGTCCATGTGACGACGTCGATCATGCCAAACTAGTGCAATTAGAGGACTTTCTCATCTCATTCTATCGTAGTTACGCCGAGACGCGGCGAATCAGCCCAAAGTGCAAAAAGACCAAGAAGTCACGCACTAAGCCGGGAACCAAAGAGCACAAGGTGTTTCCCTTCCTGGCATCATCTTCATCGCGATCATCAATAACGTCTTCATCGAGTTCGACCGAGGCCGGACCTCGAAAACAGTGTGATAGCCAGTGTGCCACAGCCACCGCCAACGACGACGACGACAGCAACGTCGCCAAACAGCCAAAGCAACTCCAACCGGAACAATCATTCAATACATCGCAGGCCGATCGTACTATGAACCAGGATCGCGAACCCGAAGATCCTAACGCAGTAGTTGAACCCGCACAAGCCAAACCAACACCAACGACCAACGACGACGACGAGGAGGAAGAGGACGACAATCAAAGCGATGCCAAACCTACAGTCGACAGTGTCAGCCCTTGCGCCAGCTGTCCACCGACGCCGCAGCGATCGACCTCGGCCATCACCGCGGATAGCACAACCAAAGACGACGACGAGGACGCAACGACGACGACGACGACCACCACCGCTACGGCGACTCCCAGCGGGGCCAGTAGCCAGCAGACCGTAGTCAATGTGGAGGAGACGGATCCGCTGGATCAGAAACGGCCCTCGCTGGACGCTCCGACGTCTTCCTCCATCACGGCTCCCCGACCGCGAACGACAACGGGAGGCTGCGATGACGACAGTACCGAACCGGACGAGGAGGAAGACGACGACGATGACGAGGACGAGTGCAACGGGAACAGCGGTGGTGGTGGAGCTGCAGATGCTGAACGAAACAAGCTGAGGAAGAGAATCTCGGAACTGGCGAACAACTTTGCCAGTGCCAAGCAGTTTCAGCAGATGTGCGACAATATCGATGCGATCAAGGACGTCGAACTGAGGGCGCTCATTCGGGAGCTGAAGCGGAAGATTGACTTCGCCGAGAGGATGAACTGGTTGTGTGAGTATATAGCTAACGAACAGAAGCTAATTTTTGACTGATTTACAATTAAGTTGATAGATAGCGCGTACCATTAATTTTCTCCCATCGTTCATCCTCGTAAAGTAATCTGAACTAGTGACTTCACAAGACTTCTTTGAAATTAACACAACTGGTGCCGGCGGTTGAGTGGTAAGCGCAACAGCTTTCTCACTTCAGTGTGTCTGGGTTCAATCCCAGCGAGGTCGTTGGTATTATTCTATCGAACGTCATTTGCTGATCTGAGCTGATAAACGAGGTGGAAACATAGTCATCGCTATCAGAGATGGTACGAGCATTGCTAAAGCGTGGAAACAAAGGTCTCTGAATTTGTCCGAAGTTCTCTGTCCTGTTTTTTTCTGAACTCGTCCAATATTCTCTGAACTTGCCAAAAGTTCTGTTTAATTTTCCAAAGCTCTCTGAACTTGTCATAATTTTTCTGAACTTGTCATAATTTTTCTGAACTTGTCCAATGTTCTCTGAACTTGTCCAATGTTCTCTGAACTTTTTCAAAGTTCTCTGAACTTGTCCAAAGTTCTCTGAATTTGTCCAAAGTTTTCTGAACTTGTCCAAAGCTCTCTGGACTTGTCCAAATTTCTCTGAGCTTGTCCAATGTTCTCTGAACTTGTCCAAAGTTCCCTGAACTTGTCCAAAGTTCTCTGAACTTGTCCAAAGCTCACTGAACTTGTCTAAAGTTCTCTGAACTTGTCCAAAGTTCGCTGAACTTGTCCAAAGTTCCCTGAACTTGTTCAAAGTTCTCTGAACTGGTCCAAAGTTCTCTGAACTGGTCCAAAATTCTCTGAAAAGTTTCAAAGTTCTCTGAATTTGTTCAATGTTCTCTGAACTTGTCCAAAGTTCTCTGAACTTGTCCAAAGTTCTCTGAACTGGTCCAAAGTTCTCTGAATTTATTCAAAGTTCTCTGAACTTGTCCAAAGTTCTCTGAACTTGTCCAAAGTTCTCTAAACTGGTCCAAAGTGCTCTGAATTTGTTCAAAGTTCGCTGAACTTGTCCAAAGTTCTCTGAACTTGTCCAAAGTTCTCTGAACTTGTCCAAAGTTCTCTGAACTTGTCCAAAGTTCTCTGAACTTGTCCAAAGTTCTCTGAACTTGTCCAAAGTTCTCTGAACTTGTCCAAAGTTCTCTGAACTTGTCCAAAGTTCTCTGAACTTGTCCAAAGTTCTCTGAACTTGTCCAAAGTTCTCTGAACTTGTCCAAAGTTCTGTGAACTTGTCCAAAGTTCTCTGAACTTGTCCAAAGTTCTCAGAATTTGTCAAAAGTTCTCTGAACTTGTCGTAATTTTTCTGAACTTTTCTAATGATCTCTGAACTCGCCAGAAGTTCTGTTTAGTTTTCAGAAGTTCTCTAAACCTGCCAGAAGTTCTGTTTAATTTTCAAAAGTTCTCTGAACTTGTCAAAAGTTCTCTAAACTTGTCCAAAATTATCTGTACTTGTCCAAAGTTCTCTGAATTTGTCCAAAGGTCTCTGAATTCGTCCGAAGCTCTCTGAACTTGTCCAAATTTTTCTAAACTCGTCCAAAGCTCTCTGAACTTGTCCACAGTTCTTTTAACTTATCCAAAGTTCTCTGAACTCATCCAAATTTCTCTGAACTTGTCCAGAGTTCTTTGAACATGTCCAAAGTTCTCTGAACTCGTCCAAAGTTCTCTGAACTTGTCCAATGTTATCTGAACACGTCCAAATGTTTCTGAACTTGTCCAATGTTCTTTGAACTTACCAAAAGTTCTGTTTAATTTCCCAAAGTTCTCTAAACTTGTCCAAATTTCTCTGAACTTATCCAAAGCTCTCTGAATTTGTCAATAGTTCTCTGAACTTGTCAAAATTTTTCTGAACTTTTCTAATGATCTCTGAACTTGCCAGAAGTTCTGTTTCGTTTTCAAAAGTTCTCTGAACTCGTCCAAAATTCTCTTAACTTGTCCACAGTTCTCTTAACATATCCAAAGTTCTCTGAACTTATCCAAAGTTCTCTGAACTTGTCCAAAGTTCTCTGAACATGTCCAAAGTTCTCTGAACTTGTCCAAATTTTTCTGAACTTGTGTGAATTTCTCTGGACTTGTCCAAAGTTCTCTGAACTCGTCCAAAGTTCTCTGAACTTGTCCAATGTTATCTGAACACGTCCAAAATTTTCTGAACTTGTCCAATGTTCTCTGAACTTGCCAAAAGTTCTGTTTAGTTTCCCAAAGTTCTCTAAACTTGTCCAAATTTCTCTGAACTTGTCAAAAGTTCTCTGAACTTGTTCAAATTTTTCTGAACTCATCCAATGTTCTCTAAACTTGCCAAAAGTTCTGTTTAACTTCCCAAAGTTCTCTGAACTTGTTCAAAGTTCTTTGAACTTGTTCAAAGTTTTCTGAACTTGTACAAAGTTCTCTGAACTTGTCCAATGTTCTCTTAACTTGCTAAAAGTTGTGTTTAATTTCCAAAAGTTCTCTGAACTCGTCCATAGTTCGCTGTACTTGTCAAAACATTTCTGAACTCGTCCAATGTTCTCTGAAGTAGCCAAAAGTTCTGTTTAATTCCCGAAAGTTCTCTGAACTTGTCCAAAGTTCTCTGTCCTTTCAAAAGTTCTGTTTAATTTTTCAAAGTTCTCTGAACTTTTCCAAATTTCTCTGAACTTGTCCAAAGTTCTCTGAACTTGTCAAAACATTTCTGAACTTGTCCAATGTTCTCTGAAGTAGCCAAAAGTTCTGTTTAATTCCCGAAAGTTCTCTGAACTTGTTCAAAGTTCTCTATCCTTTCAAAAGTTCCGTTTTATTTCCCAAAGTTCTCTGAACTTTTCCAAATTTCTCTGAACTTGTCCAAATTTCTCTGAATCTGTCCAAATTTCTCTGAACTTGTTCAAAGTTCTCAGAAATTATTAAAATCTCTCTGAACTTGTCCAATTTCTCTGAACTTGTCCAAAGGTCTCTAAATTTGTCCAAAGTTCTCTGAACTTGTCCAAAGTTCTCTGAACTTGTCCAAAGTTCTATGAACTTGTCCAAAGTTCTCTGAACTTGTCGAAAGTTCTCTGAACTTGTCCAAAGCTCCCTGAACTTGTCCAAAGTTCTCTGAACTTGTCCAAAGTTCACTGAACTTGTCCAAAGTTCTATGAACTTTTCCAAAGTTCTCTGAACTTGTCCAAAGTTCTCTGAACTTGTCCAAAGTTCTCTGAACTTGTCCAAAGTTCTCTGAACTTGTCCAAAGTTCTCTGAACTTGTTCAAATTTTTCTGAACTCATCCAATGTTCTCTAAATTTGCCAAAAGTTCTGTTTAATTTCCCAAAGTTCTTTGAACTTGTTCAAAGTTCTTTGAACTTGTTCAAAGTTTTCTGAACTTGTACAAAGTTCTCTGAATTTGTCCAATGTTCTCTTAACTTGCTAAAAGTTGTGTTTAATTTCCAAAAGTTCTCTGAACTTGTCCAAAGTTCTCTGTCCTTTCAAAAGTTCTGTTTAATTTCCCAAAGTTCTCTGAACTTTTCCAAATTTCTCTGAACTTGTCCAAATTTCTCTGAACTTGTCCAAAGTTCTCTGAACTTGTCCAACGTTCTCTGAACTTGTCCAAAGTTCTCAGAACTTATTCAAATCTCTCTGAACTTGTCCAAATTTCTCTGAACTTGTCCAAAGTTCTCTGAACTTGTACAAAGTTCTTTGAACTTGTCAAGAAATTTCTTCTCTGAACTCGTCCAAAGTTCTCTGAACTTGTCCAAATTTCTCTGAGCTTTTTCAAAGTTCTCTGAACTCGTCCAAAGTTCTCTGAACTTGTGAACTTGTCCAAAGTTCTCTTAACTTGTCCAATGTTCTCTGAGCTTGCCAAAAGTTGTGTTTAATTTCCAAAAGTTCTCTGAACTTATCCAAAGTTCTCTGAACTTATCCAAAGTTCTCTGAACTTATCCAAAGTTCTCTGAACTTGTCAAAGTTCTCTCAACTTGTTCACGGATCTGTGAATTTATCCAAAGGTCTCGGAACTTGTGCAAAGTTTTCTCATTTCGATTGTAAATGACATTTTCGAGTTATGATTCGTTGAATATCGAATACGGCATTTTGAATTTTGTTTTTCAACTCAAATGTGAATGATCGACCATAACCAATATTATGCAAATCGGAGAAGGTTTAGTCATAAATAAATTTGGTTTTGTTTTGTTTCGTGAAATAAAATTGCGAGGTGTATATAAGATTTACCAGATATAAAACAAAGTCATCCTGGGGTTCTTTTGGTTTTTTTTTTTTTTTGTATTTTAGGTAATTTCGGTAATTTCAACGTCATTCTTACCTCACAATATCTTTCTTCAATAATGGTGGGTCATGAATTTATCCAATTTTTCAACCTGTGGCATAATCAATGAAAGTTTGAGAACCGATTACTTACATTCCAAGCTAGTGCCCGTAATTTGATGATCTGATATCCCTTTAAACAGATTATTCAAGCGAATCACTCACACAGGAGAGACCAGCTGGAAATTCTCACCTACCACCGTAGATGAAAAGGACCAAATCTACTTTGCTCCATTCTTCCTGGCTAGCATGCATTCATTCGTCCATTCTGCCGTTGTAGTTGCTGTCGATGCAACAACGGTCGGACTCGGTACGATGGAAAAATTTCCACCCATGTCAAAAGCAGAAACATTGCATTATAGTTTCTATACCCCCCACCCCCCATGAATCCCTATTGAGAGAGAAAGCATACATCCATCCCTCAGGTGTCCTGTCACGGGGATCTCTCTGAGTGTATGCACGTGTTTGGTGTAGAGTTTTTGTAGCGCATTGAATTCAGCCGTTCGTTGGAAACGAGCTTGCATCGTTTCGCCGAAGTGCTATTTTTTACCCATTCATGGGAAGTTGCAAAATGAAAGCTCCACTGGTCCAAAGGGGGGGGGGGGGTTCTGATAACTGCCAGCCTGCTGTGCTACAGACAGACACAGAAAACTCGACAACGACCATCATCTCCGATTCGCGATGGCTATGGCGGTGGCAAAAATGACATCGCAACTGTATCGC